GTACTACTAGGGGCCCCTGGCATCGCTACTAGGGGGAGCAAGAAGCCACTAGTAACAAGGGCATCGCCATCGCTACTACGAGCAAGGACGCTACTAGGGTCTCCTGGCATCGCTACTAGGAGCAAGAAGCTACTAGTAACAAATGCATCGCTACTAGTAACAAGGGCATCGTTACTAGGAGCAAGGACGCTCGCGCACGCGCGCGCGTGCGCGCGCGAAAAGGTCCTAGTAGCTTCTTGGTCCAATTCTAATTAAATGTTAATTTACTTCTAATGCTTGCTTCTAGTAGCTTCTTGTTACTAGTAGTGAGGCCAGGAGCCCCTAGTAGCATTCTTACGAGTAACAAGTGCATCACTACTAGTAACAAGGCCCCGACCTGTTGCCGTTGGCGCTTGAAGCTTCCCAGCTCTCCACCGTCCGTGCTACTGGAGCTGCCACTGCTGGTTGAACTGCTGCCTCATGCCATGCGACTTCCAAAGCCTTTCTGTGCCTTTTGAAGAACCAAAGCCTTTCTGTGATTCCAAGTCAATCTCACAGCCTTCTGGTGCCATGTTGACTTCTACCCTGTTTGCACGGTTCTAAACTCTAAACTCCAAACAAAGCATCCCTCATTGTATCTTGTGATGCTTCTTTTCCAGATCTATATACAAACAAGAAAGGCCCCTGCTATCGGAGTCGCTGCTCTTGCTGTCTGAGTCATCGTCGCGTCTCCTCACATGAGGGATGGTCATGGTGGGTGCTTAAGCTCTTCCGATCCACTTTGCAAGGGGGAAGAGCCATGCCGAAAGCCCATCATCTGAATTGAGTATAATTTCTTATCACCAGGGGAGGGCAAATCGCAAACAGTCACAGTTACTGAAACTGCATATTACACTGAAAAGTCGCTGTCAAAAGCTGCTCTTCCCTTCAGGTCATTTCTTTAGGTCCAAGGGACAGCCAATGGCGCAACCGCCATGCACGCTTCTTCCGCTTTCTGCGAGTTTGCTTTTCCTGAATGCTACGAGGCAAAGTCCATTCTCAAGAAAGACACCGAGAATTCAGTTTGGCTAGTGGGAACCTGGGCAATTCTGTGGCCAGCACACCTGACAAAGTAAGCTTGCTCTATCTGTAGTCTTGATGCAACATAACATGTTCACATCATGGCCAAGCATCCTCAATTATGCCTCTACTCCCAAGCTGCTCTTGCTGAATGGTGCGTTCGGCTTCGGAGTCCGTGGTCCACTCGGAGGAGATTGATTCGCAGTCAATCCTTGGATCTCAAGCTGGCCTGCTACCTAAGTGTTCACCCCTTCCTTTGAACCTTGCACAACAGTTGAAGAAAAGCGGTAAGATTGAAAAAGGAAGGTAAGGCCTTTCTTCTCGTTTCTTTCCTTTTTCTCATCTCTTGCCTTTCTTCTCTATATATATAATATATATATATACATGCTATTCCACCAGAGCCAAGCAGCTCCAGCTCGGTATTGCGAAGGCGGAAGACTCTCTCGTGCGGACCATCGCTCCGCACCAGAAAGTCCCCTTCACGCGCCATGTCAAGGCGCCAAAAACTGCTGCAACGGTTGTCGTGCGAAGTACTTTTCACTTTTGGAACTTGCAGTGGAAGATGGAAGAAAGCTGGCCATTCAGTCATTATATAGTTAAAGTTGATAATTACATGTTAATACCGCAATCAGCACTTACAAAACGTGCTTCCAGGTTGTTCTCCCTTGGTTTCTGTCAGTCTGCTATGTAGGCTCAAGCCTTAAGTGCCCAAAAGATACCGAGCCGAGCCATGGAATGGGATCTTCAGCATAGGAAACTTGTCTCTTGATTGAAACATCTTATCAAAAAGCGGCTGCACCAAGGGCGTTCCGACCTGGCGATTGTCGTGCGACGAGGGCTCCCCTTCAATGGAGGAGGTCAGGGCTGGCTCGCCTCAAAGTCTGCTCACAAGACAAAGTCTGTAGTTCAATGAAAGAAAAAACAAAAAGGAAGCAGTAACATATTACAACTGCTTTAGCACTTACTATGATGACATCTTCAAGGTTGTTCTGTCAACAAAACCCTCACAGGGTAAAACCACGCCTTGGCCTTGACCGTGTCGTCGAGCAGGTTCAACCTCGAGCAGTTTTGACACTTCTCATGTTGATAATCCGAACACATCCGGCCTGAGCTGACAGAGGAGCATCAACACTTCCCGTGTCCGGACTCTCATCGAAAAGACCTGCCACAGGCTTTTGGGGCATTCTCAGAAAAGTGATCTCTGTCAGAATCTCCTCGGGAGCTTTACTAAGAATCACGGCCAACACAGGACCAACACAGCCCAGGCCAAGCCTGCAAGCTTTGACTGCCTGGCTCCCGGAACCACAATCTCCTGGGAGCAACGAGCACTACCGACTCCATAACCAGACTGAAGCAATTCCCAAACCCAAAACAGGCCATTGGGCAACCGGTACAACAGGGGGAATCGGCATGAAATCAACTGAGCTTTTCTTTTTGATCTGGCAAGCACCCGAACATGTATTGGTCAAGCGTCCACATTGCTTAGAGGCCAAGGTCAAACTCGAAACAGCTTCTAACAGCAGAAGCGGACAAGAAGCCAGCGGCAACCCACTCTCTCAAAGAGACTATTTGCGATGCAGAAGACAACTCTTGGAAGAGGACAGGTGCAAAATGGAAAGGGAACCAGTAAAAATATTATATATGTTTACATAATATATGTCAAACCTCAACCACAAAAGCAGACTCCTAAATCATCATAAAGCTAAGACTGGAAGAATGAACAGCAAAAAGTACGGTTAGCCAACGTACACCTGTTTTTGTGAGGTGAACAGATTTTGAGATTCCCAACAGCTGAACTCGAAGACCCTTGGCCTCCGGCTCGGAGTTCCTCCACCTGTCTGGCCTCAGAGTGGGAACATACAATCTGGCCAAGACCAAATATGTCGTTCCAAGACGTTTGCTATGCTTGGCCCATAACACCTGTAACTACATTATTTCCTGTATCCCCTCTCTTTGTGCACGCTTTATCGCCACGTCATTGTGAGGTTGTTGATGTGATGCAAGTCCTTGAGCTGCACACGTGGAGCGCGGCGGCCAATCACCACCAGCTCCACTCCGACTGGGTGGGAGGAAGGCCAAGTCAGACGGACCTCAACAGCTCTTTCGAGTTGTTGCAAGCCCAAGCAGCTCAGTCGCTACAATTGGCAGTCGCTGGTGCCCGCACTCTCTGCTGATGTTGCTGGCAGGGTGGGCGCCACCCCCTCAGACACGGCCTCCTGCGATGGTGCTTCGAGGCAGTCTTGCGGTTAGCAGCTAGCAAATCACTTGAATAGCCCGTCCTTCTTCTTGAAGAAGTTTCGCATTGTGCGATGACAAGCCAAAAGCTTCGCAAAGAAGACCGTTGACAATTGCAAGAGCCTTTCCAATCTCCAAATGCGCTTGCCAAATGGGCTGCGACCCTTCCCATCCACTCTCTTCTTCTCAGGCAAGCGAGCTTCTCTCCACGGCTTGCAGGCCTAAAGAACGATATGGGGCTTCACATGACCCAGGGGGGTTTCTAAGGCACTTGTGAAGTCTACTCCGAGGGCATTCGACTTCGATACCCATCCGACCTGTTTCGAAGCACAGCGCACGTGGCGCTAGCGAAACGCAAATTAAAGATTTGGTTTTCGACAAACCCAAGCTGTGGTTCTCGAGGCAACTCAATGCTAGCCAGGTGCCCCTCAAGCCAAAGAGGCTCAGAGGAGTTCAAGCGCTGGTGACTATGTCTTTTGGGTAACAAAAACTTCCGGATCCTGGACTGGCTGGTGCCGTTCGTGATGTCCCACAGGCTTACTGTGAAACATGTCATGTGTTAAAATCATGCACTTCAAATCAAGTAGCCCTGACGACCATCAGGAGCCCAATGCATTCATTCCAGCACCTTCCTTAAGAAAGTCTGGATCCCTCCAAATTTGGAGTCTTTGCAATGCAATTTCCGCTAGTCGGATAGACTCCCACTTGAATCATTGAAGTGACAATCAACCAGGCTCAGCCTACTCAACACCAGTTTAATTGCTAGGTCTAGCAGGCTGTCACGAACTGGATTCACGGCAAGTGCCTGACAGGTTTTGGTCCACAATCACTTAGGAGCTACAAGAATAGAAACACCTACCTGTGCCGCAAACGGCCACATGGCTGTTCTGCGGCAGCACTGCCGTGTTCAAGGTCGCCTTGGGCAAAGACATTCAAAAGAAATGCACATCTTAGACCGGAGGACTCAAAGAAAGGGATTGTTCAACGGCATAGCTGGATAGCACAAGGACACCTTGTGAAAAATGAGTGGGTGAGCTTCCCCAAAAATCTTAGGAACCACATCAATGAAGACAGAGGGTCAGGCTTCTGCAAGGAAAGCCTTCGCCCCCCCCCCCCACACACCCCACGACCCCACCTTTTCAGGCGAGCAGCCCACCTCTCGGCCTAAAGACCCTCAAGAATGCATATGTCCTGAGCTCCTGGCCTGGCCCATTTCCTCAAGGCTTGCTAACCCAAAAGCCTCAAAACTCAAAAATGTTCCACACGAAAGAAACCTGCGAGAAAGAAAGAGACACCAAGAACACTGTTCGTGGCCTGTGAGGATCTATACTGGTCGCCTACGGCCAGGATCAATGCAAAGAACGGAAGCATTTGCAAATCTATACCCTTCACACCGCCTCTGCGACCGAAGCTAGCACCAGCTGCACTTCCCAAGCCAGTCCCAAAGCTGTTGACCGCAATGGTCGGTGCATTCAGCCCGATGCCAGGCGCTTTTGGCGCAGTGCCCAAGCCAGATCCCAAGCCACCGAAACCCCCACCAAGGCCACCGCCAAATCCACCCAACCCATTGGGCTTGGGCGTCCCCATGGTCGCTGCTCCCAAGCCAGTTGGAGGTGTCTGGATATTTGGAAGGCCTCCACATCCACCGGAAGGCCCACCAACACCTGGATAGGCCAAGTTGGTGCAACTTCGTGGCAAAGCTCACTCTCGGTGCACCTCGCAAGTCTTCAAGCCTCGCACTGCCAAGACCACCTTGGCCACTTTGGCCAACTTGACCTTGCAAACTTGCAAGAAGACTTGGGACAAAGGACTCGGAAGCCTAGGAGTCCTCTTGTAAAGGCCATGATCACTTGAACACTCCGGCCCGTTTTGTGAAATTCAAGCCCCAAGACGGTGAGACGACCCTGGTGACCCCAATCTGAACTGAGGCCTTGTGGGGCAGCCTTCAGCGCCTGCTTCGCCTGCTCGACGTAGCGTTCCTGCACAGTTTTTTACACTCTCGAAACCAAAAGGAACCTGTTTGTAAAACCTTCTGGAGTTTAAGTTTCAAAGCAAACTAAGCATCAGTCTAAAGTGATGTAAGACTATCCAGGACAAAAGCCTTTGCACCAAGGCCCTCGTCAGTCAAAGGGAATTGACATGCCATGACAATTGCGCTCGAAGCCTTTGGAACCCCCATTCTTTCACACTGTCTCCGGTCCTGTTCCAAGTGGAAAGCCTCCAAATCTCTCAAGTACTGGCTAGCATCCTTTTCGGACATTGGCCTCAACAGGTTTGTGCTCCATGTGGACTGACCTTGCATTGCAAAAGTCACACCTGGTGCTATCACCAGCGATCTCAGTCCCACGTCGCTGAAGATCACGGAAACGAGTATCAAGCCTGATACTCCGTTCAGGTGGCCGAGAATCAGAAGGAACTGCGGTGATAAACAAAAAACGAATAGTTAAATATGAAGACATCAACCTTAGAAAGCTACTAGGAACAAAGGGCATCGCTAGCAAGGACGCTACTAGTAGCTCCTGGCCTTACTACCAGTAACAAGAAGCTACTAGTAGCTAGAAAGTGGATCCTGATTGCGCTAAGTGTAGCTAGGACTCCCACGATGTGCCCATGCTTGCTAGCGGAGCTATCACCTGACGTGTGAACCGAGTGCTCGGCAGCGACACATTTGGCCCAGGTGTTGTGCTCCCCAATGCGCAATCACTTCATTCTCACTTCATTCATGCTGCGTGTACGCTTGGAGCAACATGTGAAAGGAACTCCTATCTTCTCAAGTCAACAAATCAATTGAACAATCAACGAATCCTCGAAGAAAAAGATAAGTTAATCCTTGAGGCATCTTGAACCCAAGAATTCCCTGCATGTTTTCTCTCCCTGCTCACGCTGGTTCACCTGCTGTGGAACACGGGCAAGCTGCGGAGCCATTCCTTGAAACTCCTGGAGGACGATAATAAATTCCAAGTCACGAACTTGGCAGTTGACTCGGCAGTCGGGGGTGATTTCTGTGAAAACAATGACAAGGATGGCATCAAAATGCATCAAACATCATTAGACAGCCCCAGAATTGCACCTGCATGAGGCGGATAACCTGTCCAGACTGTGAACAAGAAACAGGAGGTCTATGTTTGCAGCTAGGATGTGCCATTGACGTATATTATGTGTATATATATATATAACGGAAAGGTCTTTTTTCTAAAAGCCAATTGACAAGGAAATTCGGCCTTGCCTTGTCAATCACAGCGGACAGCCGTCGATCAGTGTCTGGTGTCACCTCAAAAACAGGGCCAGGCATCTGATTTGGAAGAGCCGACACACACCATGCGGCCTGTCCACGGACAGGCGCAGCTGCCTCACTAGTTGCAGTGTGAGGCCAAAATGAGTGGTGCAGTCACACTGAAACTGTCACGACTGCGCAAGCGTCACAACTCGTCGCCTGTGGAGGTTGTGCAGCTCCGAACGATCCCAAGGGCGGCATTGGCTGCGGTGGGACTGAGGGGCCAGTGGTGCCAGTGGGCAACCGACTACCCAGCATCCCTTGATAGCCTCCCAGGCCACCTCAGCTTCAAGCGCAGTCTCTCTGTCAGTGGTGCGACTTCTTTCCAAATTTGGCGTTGGAACAAAAACAAAAAGCCCAACGGCTCATCATCATTAAACACAGTGATCCCTTGTTTTTTTGGACGCCAATTGAATTTCTCAATCAACTTACCAATTGAGCCCAAGGGGCTTGTTGAGCCTGCAGCCTGCTTAACTTGATACTCGGCATCACCCACGAAGGTCAACTGCCTGACATTCGTGAATACATTTGCGACATCCGCCTCATAAATTGCGACTTGAGGTCACCTTGACACATACGATTCCAGCTCATCGGCATAGGGTGCAGCATCCGCCTGCCAAAATGCAAGCAGGATTCAAATCCATTTTGCAGCGGCCACTCTCAAATCCGCCTCCAGCATCAACTGGCCACTAGTGAGCTGCATCCCTTTCTGCTGCAAACGAAGGAATTCTTCATGCAGCTTTTGTGCTTGATCGGCTAGAGGGTTGAAAACCTGACAAGAGAACATCTTGGGATATGATCTCAGTCCGGACACCTATGCCAAAAGGCCCTACAAGTTGACTCTGATATTTGCACTCCTTCATCACGTGAGGTCCTTCTGCTCCCCTGCTCCCCTCTTTTTGGTATGTCATTGTGTATCTCCTCTCAAAGCATACTGTAATATATAGCAACAACATCTCTTGCAATGCTGCTGCGCCTGAGGCGGCAAATTCGGGAGCTTCGAGTGCAAGGCCTCGAAGCGTTGCATCCCCGACTGAATGGCCTGCAGAAGCACTCCAATCATCAAATCCGAATGTGTTGTTTGCGGCTTGACTCAGGAATTCACGTCGTCTCGAGCCAAAAACGAGAAAGCTGGGCTGTACTTGGAGAGCTGATCAAATCCAGTCTCATGGCCTGCATTGCAGCCTGCAATCGCTGTTCAGTCGCAGGTGAGGCTGGACCGGTTCCACCGGCTACACCTGCACCTGCAAGAGCGTCCCCAAGCTACACCAGCCAAGTCATGACACAAAGCCTGGCCTTGAGACTTCCGAGGCAGGCTGCCGAGCGACACTGGAGCAAACGACCCTGCTCCAGGTGCTCCAGGCAGCCCTCTGGGGCCTGTGATGCCAAACCTGGCGGGAGAAGTTCACGCAAAGGTCCTATAGCGATTGCCTCCAACCTAATAGCAAGGTTCTCAACCTTGACTCTTCTGCGACAAAGGACCCACACGTTGAAGCAACCCACGCGGCGGAGCCTTTTGGCAACCCCATTGACAAAGACGGCCAAGTCTCTGTGGAAGGTAATGGCTTCCTGACATCAAGATCAAGCAAAAATATCTGACTGGATCAATCCCTTAAGGAAAATGCTTGAGATCACACGTGCCTCTTCCAACTCTGGGTTTGCGTTGGCATTGCCATTGGCAACTAGCTTCTTCTGCATGTTCTCAAAACGCTCATGGAGCTTCTGCGCAGGAGTCGCAATTTCTTGCAGCTCGGTCGGTGGGAGCTGTGCAATTTGTGGCTGCAGCTCTTCAAAGCGTTGCATGAGCCCCGCGATGCCTTCCACCGCATCTTGCAAGGCTGCGCTTCGAGAGTTTCCGGTGCCCAGGCTTCCCCCCCCTACAGGGAGGCTGAGCTGGTTGCCCCGGCAGTTGTCCTGCCACCGGGACGGCCACCAGCATGGCCAGAACAGCCACCAGTGAAGCCATAGCCAATGGCAACGCCACTGCTATCAGCGATACCATGCTCAGTCTACGACTCAGCACTAAGTTTGAAGCTGCTGAGTATCCATGCATTTTGGGGGGCTCGTGTTCAAAGTGCTCTTGCAACACCTGCATTCCATGATGCATAGCTCTGAAGTTGCCTTTTCGTCCTAGGGCCCAACTGAAGGCTGCAGCGCAGCTTCAGTGGTCAGGATTCTTGGATTCTAGAATTAGCCCTGGTGTGGTGCATGTCGGATTCTTGTACTGCTTCAGAAAGCTGAGCCAAAATGCAAAGGAAGTGCTAGACTGAGAAGATTGAAATGATGAAAAGCAAGCAAATACACATGATGCTCGTGTCCATGGAAAGCTGATCTGTCAGTGTTGAGGGGTCAAATCAAGAATTGCTTCAACATTGCAGAGACGCCTGTGCAACAGCGGTGCTACTTCGTCAGGGACATACAGTTCAGGTAATAGGTACTCCGATAGCGCAAGCAAGTGTCCAAGAGTCGAACTGACACCAAATCGAAGCAATGTCATTTTGGCAGTGGAGGGCAGTGGAGGGGGTCCAAATATGGAGTGGAGAATGGCTGAAGTTGGCCACAAAGATCGGAACGAGGATCATCGGGCAAAACTTCTAAGAGTCTTTGGAGGCGAGGCGTTTGTGCGCATCGGCGAGGGCAAGTTCAGGCCTATGGGCTACACAAGTACAGCAGGCGAATACAAAGTGGGGCACAATGTTCAGGCTGAACGAACACAGTCGAAGTGTCAAAATCTTTTGTTTCGATGGCAGCTGGTCCCAGTTCTTCGGCTCAGTTCATACGCCCCAAGAGCTCATTGATGAGCTCCTGGCAAATCATTCACTTCATCTGTTCTCAGCAACAACATATATCTGAACACCATGCAAACTTGGAGACAGCTCCTCGCGATTCCCCCAATCACCACCACGAGCTTCACAATAGCCATGGCCTTGACAATGCATGTTCAATAAATGGAGAACAAAAAGCAGCCCTTTATTGTTCTGAGTCTGTCACGTTTGTTGACAAAGCCGCCCTTGGGAGAGGAGAGCTTAAAGGGCCACAAGAAATTGGAGACCTCAGCGAGACCAAACTGTAGCTCTCACGGCTGAAGCAGGTAGACCATGGTGGACGACATGGCAGGGCTTCTTCTGCCAGAAAGGGGCCGGGCCTGTTTGAAGTTGGGGCCCACTGTGTAAATTTCGTGGATGATGTCCTCCATGCCATGAATGCCGTGCCTTGGTGGCAAGCTCACCCACCAAACTCTGTCGATTCAACGGAGCTCGGTTCGCAGTTACTGCAGCCCCCAAAGCCGTGCAGGAGAGAATTTAGAATTGGTAAACTCCTTGCTACTAGTAGCTTCTTGTTACTAGTAGCGATGGCCTCCACCTAGTAGCTTCTTGTTCCTAGTAGTAATAACTTTTGCGGAATCTTCAAGAAAGAGATCAACTGATTCATCCATGGGGCTTGCCCAGGGCATCAGAGATGATGTCATTGGAGGACAGTGGAATGCGCTGCTTGCTGACCTTAAAATGGGTTCGGTGAAACCAGATTACATGCCAAGCTCCTAAGGCAAGTTGAGTATGCAGCTTTGCCAAAGCCACGCTTGTAGATCAACTCCCTGACTGTCTTCAAGGAGGGATAGCCATAGGTGACATAAGGCTGCACGAGTTTGAGCATGTTCAAGATTGGCTTGTTGACCTGAACAAAGGCTAATGGAGCAAATGTTTGCATTTGGAGAATGTAAATCATGCGTCAGTATTATCAAATGATGTTTCCATCGAGTTTGACCTTCTGCCTGGCCCCTGCCTTGAGAAACACGCCATTGTGCAACTGCTTGAGTCTCAGCAGCTGCAGCACTTTCCTGGCGAGAGTGCAGCCCCTATCGAACGGCAACTTTCTCTGAAATTCTTGAGTCTTTCATGAGCTTGCAACTTGTTGCAACTTTTCTTGAAACCCTTCAGAGCCCCAAATTGGCTATTCCGTCCTTGGCTTTGGGCTCATCTTCATGATACCCGCAATGCGCACCACAAAAATAAGTTTTGCCTAGAAGGACATCAAGTTGAAAAGGAAACAGAATAAACGGTTTCACATCGTCCAAAATAGTTGGGACTTTGTCAGGTTTGGCCATTGCCTCTGGCTCCACGAAGAAGTTGCCGTTCAGCTTGGCTTCACGCCGGAGCTTCACAAGCTCAGCAGCTGTGTCTGCGTACTCCTCCCAAGAGGGAATTCGGAAAGAAACCATATAATGTTTGCATTTGTTTTTCAGGACAATGACAATTTGGAAAACAAGAAAAGCTCCTTCTCATAGGCCACCGTTCGCTCCTTCAGCTTGGCACGCTCTTCCTGGAAAACATCTGTCAGCCTACTTGATTTATTGTTTTCAGCAATGCCCAACAATGACGCACCTCTCTAGCCTTTTGCTTCGCAGCCAGTGCTTGCTTCTTTTCCTGCCGAAAGCATGCGTTACTATCTGCAAGCATGGTCCTTAGCCTTGTGGAGCATCTTTGCCTCCGCCAGCTTCTCTTCTTTCTCCATTTTCATCTTGACAAGCTCCGGCACAGCTGCGCCCTCTGGCACATTCACCTGTTTTTGGGCGAATCAAAGCGAAGGGAAAACCACACAAATGCTGCCATACCTTGGAGATCGCATAGCGCTCAGCCATCCTGCTTCACTGTACCAGCTACCAACTACCCGTTCCTGCCACAGGCCTCGAGAAGAAACAGTATCAATCACGGGGAGCACGCAAAGCGTTCACTGGCGCATTGTACTGACATGTCACATGTCATTTGCCCCGACGGCCTCTTGCTTGACACGATGAATGAAAGCTAGTGAAACAACCAAACCATCTTGCAAATTGCAAATGAGGTCAAGAAAAATTGTGTTTTGTGTGTCTCCGTCGTGCTCAAAGAAGGTGTTGTCATTCAAAAGAACACATCAAAGGTTTGGATCCTATCCACTTCATTTGCCGCAGTTCGCTCTATGAAAAGTGCCTCGGGTTGATTTTCACACTGGTTTTGAATGATTTAAAAAAATGAAACAAAAATGTTAGATATATGCTAACTCGTCAGTATTGGTTACATGTTATGCACGTTGTCAATACGTCATCACCTCCTTGTTGGACACGCAGTCGCTGAGCAGGAGAGTTGTTCCTTTGTCAGTAGCATCTGTGTGAGGTGCTGGCTGCTCCAACCACTCCCTTGGTGCCACCAGTGTTCCCCTCTTATTCACAAGATTGACACATTGAGAACCATGACTCTGACTCAGTTGCACCCCCTCTCAAGCTGTCTTCTTGAATGAAGAGGCAAACAAAAACTTTGCAAATGCCGATTCCCGCCACCCTGGCACTTCAGGGGTGAAATCTACACATTCGGCCAACTTTGTCCGAGGCTCCACGAAACTGGTTTCGTCTCAACGATGAGGGAAACAAGGACAAGTGGAACAAAGTTTCCTTTTGGAAGGGGTCTGGCAAAGGTGAGTCCAAAAGCGACAAAGGTGAGAATACGGACAAAAATCAGAATTCAAGGCTGGTTGCCGTTGGCTTGGAGGATCAGGCATTGTCGTTGAATTTCATCCTCATGGCGGCTGCCAGCTGTCTTCTTGGCAGTGCATCTCTGTCCATGCGTGATGCATGGAGTGCTTGCAATCTTTACGCGCACTCCGCTGCCTCCTCCTCCTCCTCCTTCTACTCCTTCTCCCGCAGCCTTCCGCTTCAGTCACTCAACTCATACAAGCCGAATTCACTCAATTCCATCTCAGCTCTCCCAACCCAATCACAGAGCGCATGCACAGTTCTCACCTCACGCAACTCACACAGTTTCACTCAAACAACTTTCAGCTCAAACAACTCAACTCTCACCCAACCAACTCTTAACTCACAATCATTCCCACACGGACAAAAAGTTCACCACGTTTGCGGAATTCCAATGTTGTTGGCAGCACAACGTTCTTCAACCCAGAGGACAGAGGACAGCCCAAAAGGAAACGGGTTGGACCCGCAGCGCGGCCAAAGGCTGGCAAAAACAGAACGGCAGGACAAGAGAAGGACAACATGCAGGACAAAGGACAGAGAAGAACAATAAGGACGGAAGAAAAGAGGCGGATGAAAGGACAACAGCAGAAGAACAAGAGAAAAACAACAACAGCTGGAGAACAACGGCACAAACACAAAAGGAGCACAAGGCAGAACGACATGCCAACGCGGCCACACAAAAGAACTGCACAAACTGCGCACTCGTTTTTTGCTTTGTTTTTCTGTGTCCGAATTATATATTCTGTGTTTGTTCTTGCACTCACATTCAAACTCACAAGACTGTGCCACGCGATCACAGATTGACGACCAAACAGCAGCCCAACGGAAAGTTGTGAAAACACGGTCGCACAAGCTTCCCTTTTCGAGCCAAAGTCACAGTCGGTTTAGACTGTCTCACAAGTTCTCAAAGCTTCTCCAGAGCTTGTCAGCTCTTCTTAAAAGAGTCAAAACTGTTCACCAAACTAAAGAGAACTACCTCAAACAGTCTCCATGTACACGCAGTGCTACCAGGTTCTCTAGGCTTCTCCTAGCCACGTCTAGCCACACCAAGCCTTCTAAAAGGTTATCCTGCCAAAGCAAATCATCAACAAAGGACCACAAACCACAGTCAGCTCCAATCCCAAGTCATCAAAAACAAAAATCTACCAAGAAACAGGCACTAGGTGATCCACACACTGTACAAACAGGCTACGCACTGGCTTTCACACCCTTTCTTGGGTCACATGGCGCCGCCTTCTGTCTCTCTTCTTCTTCTCTTCTTCTCTCTTTCGTTTTCTCTGGACAACAACTGAGGACCAAACAACACCAAGATCCATGCACCTGTTCTTAACGGTGATCTCGATGTCGTCAACCTTGAAGTAAACTCGAGTCCAGCTCAAGCAAAACTCCAGATCCAACAAAGAATCAAGCTCGACCAACAACAAGCACGCAAACAACCAAGAAAGCAAACAAAAGAAAGATGCCTCAGAGACCAGCCGGCCTTCAATGTCTCATCATTGGGATCCTCGAACAGCAAAGCTTTCAAGGACAACACACCTGTCAGCTCAGGATGCAAAAGGTTGACTTGGAGTTGCCATGCCGTGCAAACACCTGACAAGTGCACAATGCAGCAAAAACCCATAGGGAAAGAGAGAGAGAGAGAGAACATGAAGAACAACACGAACCAGCAGGATCACCAACAGCAAAAGCAAGAACAGACAGAGACAAGAAGAGACAAGCAGAAGGCAAACATGAAGATGAAGCCAAAAGAACAAGAGAAATCCAAAGCATCGAAATAGCTCTAGAAAACCCAATTCTGGAAGACAGGGAAAGAGTGCTTTCTGGCATCGGCCCAGAGAAACCAGTGTCTGAAGAAAAGATTCCCCTGCCAGAAGAAATGGAAGAAGAAGCAAGAGACTGGCAGAAGTTAGTGTGATGACATCAATGGAAAAGAACTCCTACCTGAAAAGGCAGATAAAGCCAGAAGAGATGAGATCGACGTTGTCGATCTGTGGGAGTTCTGCTCATCAAAGTCAGCGACGATAGAAGAAAGGCCAAGCAATCTCTGGATTTTTGACCAGAGAACTGTCTTGAGATCCCATCTGAATGCAAGAAGCCAGAACATTGAGATGCAGTTGGAAAATTGGTCAGAAGCCTGTATGGCGCTAGAGACGCGATCTGACCATCGCAGAGTTCATGAAGAAGGTGGGATTTTTGCAAGGCAAGCCACCACAACATCGGAATCTGATTCCGATGAAAATGATGCACTGGGAGGCCCACCGTGGCGACGTCCAAGTTGTTTGTTGCAAACGATGCCAGGCTGCCGCCTGAGTTTGAAGAACATCAACTTTTTCTTGCGACGCACTGTTTGAGATTCCTGAATTGTGAAAACACTGTAGCGCAAGCTTCTTTTCGATCCCGCTCCTTCAGCCAAAGTCACAGTCGGTGTAGACAGTCTCAAACGTTCTCAAAGCTTGTCTTAAGCTTGTCCACTCCTCTTAAAACAGTACAAGACTACCCATAGTCATCTCAAAGCTACACAAAACTACAAGGAACTATCTCAAACAGTCTCCAAACACCTCGCGCTCTACCAGCAGGTTCTCTAAGCTATTCCTGGCCACAAGTTGCCACTTCAAACATCCTCCTGCTAAGGTGGTCGAAGGTCAAACACAAAAAGGGCACAGACCACCACTCAGCTCCAACCCCAAGCACTCTAAAAACGAAAACTCCCCAAAGAAGCAAGCACTAGGTGAGCCATACACTGTACACGTGCGCTGTACGCTATGTTTCACACCCCTTCTCTTCTTCTGTCTTCTTCTCTTCTTCTATTCGTTTTCTTTGAGCAACTAAGGATCACACATCAACTAAGATCCAAACTTTTGCCCTCAAAGGCGATCTCAATGGTATCAATCCAGAGGTAATCTCGAGTCCAACCCAAGCAGAACTCCAGATCCAACAAAGAGCCAACTTCAAACCTCAACCAACACGCATTCAACCAAGGAAGAAACGTATAAAGAGGATCCCTCAGAGGCCAGCCATGAGATCTCCGGGTCAGATCCCTTCTGCATGGCCTTCTTGTCTCATCATCGGGATCCTCAAAAGCAAAAGCCTTTCAAGGACAACTTACCTGTCAGCTCAGGGTGCGAAAGGGTTATCTGGAGTTACAATGCCGTGCAAACCTCTAACCTCAAGACCTGACAAGTACACAAAGTTGCAATCAACTGCAGATGAAATCCCCAAGAAGCTATCTAGACACAAACTTGCAATGAACAAAGTTGCAAACAAGCACAAGTAAACTCACAAGAAACTCGCTGAAAGCTGAACCTGCGATGAACGAAGCTCCAAGCAACTGCAAGAGACATCACAAGAAACTCTCTAGAAAGCTAAACTGGCAATGAACTTGGTTCCAATCATCCTGCACACAGTGAACTCGTCATGCCACAGCAAATCCATGCTCTAGAAGTTTAAAACCCTTGCCATTTCCACCTGCCTATCTGAGCTTTCCTTTCTTTTCCTTTCTTTTGCTTCCTGTTGCTTTCTCTTTCTTTCTCTTGCTTTCTCTTCCTTTTCCATTCTTTCACAAAGCAAGACACATCTTCAATCAAGCAAGAAATAAATAAAGCAGAAAGCCTTCCATCACACTCTCCATGGTTTCAACCTGACGCCAGATTCACATTTTTTTGCACGAGTGGAGACGCCATGTGTGCATGGTGCACAGGTCATCTTTGACCAAGGTTTGAATCTCCAAGTACTCAAAAAGGAGCACCAAGAAACAAACACACAACCACAAACAAACAAAACAGCAACCAACAATGCGAAAGTGTCGGAGATTCACTTCTGTACATCTGAGGTGAAACAAGGTGAAAATGGACTGTGACTTCTTTGTACTGGGGCTGTGAGCTCAGGTGTGAGCTGCGACTCAAATCTTTGCTGGCCAGTTCTTGCAAAGGTTTTTCCACGAGTGCGGACGCCATGTGGGCGGAGTGCCCAGGTCATCGTAGAAGGAAAGGAAACACTGCATATTAATGGGAAAAGAAACACGAAACACGAAAACAACAACCAACCAAAAACACAAAACCCAACAAGATGGAGCCCACGAACCCGAATGCAAACACATACGTCAAACCACTGTGTATAAAAAGAGACACAGCCGGTGGGAATCTCTTTTTCACTCTCTGACACGTTGTTGGACATCATGCGCTGGGGACTCCACCACCAAGGCAGCATGCGCTGGGGACTTCACCACCAAGCTCTGTCTTCATCATGAAGGATTTTTGTTTTGCATTCAAATCAAGCACTGGCGTAAAGGGTCTGGCAGATCCGCGGCGCGAAAGAAACAATGGCATTGTCCCAAAATCTCGAAAATAAGCACTTGAAAATGATAACCGTCCACATAATACAGAGAAATCCACAATTGCGGCGTCTGATCTTCTTGTAAAAAGGAGTGCAAGACCGTGCGTTGTTGTGGTTCGCCTGCATCGACAAGAAGTATATGAGACACACACAGCGCGGAAGTGAAGAAAACTATCCAAAAGGTCATGTCATTAGGACACTCTTGTAGGACACTCTTGTGGGACACTCTTAGAAGACACTCTTGTGGAACACTCTTGTAGGACACTCTTGTGGCACACTCTTAGAAGACACTCTTGTGGAACACTCTTGTGGGACGCTCTTGTAGGACACTCTTGTGGACATTCTTGTAGGACACTCTTGTGGGACACTCTTGTGAGACACTATTGTGGGACACTCTTGTAGGACACTCTTAGAAGACACTCTTGTAGGAACACTCTTGTGGGACACTCTTGTAGGA